TGCCAAGCATGCTGTGGTGCTGTCTGTGAACCAACATCCAATCAAACTGTAGACACCTATTATTTACTGGGTTTCGGGAAGAGTAACTGAAGGGAGTTCTCTGCCTCTTGTTATTCAGAAACTTTGATTAGATAATGTATTGGTCCCATCTGGCTAGAATCCAAAGCTCACTGGAGTCTTCAGAAAAGCAATGACTTCTACTGAAGTCATTCAATAGCCTTTGGTTCAGAGCCACTCTATTGAACTTACAGAGTTTGAATGACACTTTACGAATATATAGTTATCTTGCCAGGTATTTATAATCCTTGCTCATGATCATGGTATTTGACTAACTTCCAGGAGAACCAAGTAGATACTATTAGAAGAGACAACAGTTTATCCAAGGCCCCATACCACAGCCCGCAGCAAACTGCTTGACATCTACACAGAACATTAGTTAAATACGCATCTATTGATGGATGAATGTGTAAAGCCAAGAACCCATCTAAATAAGTGGAAAAAGAAAGGATACATACATACATACATACATACATACATATATACATACACACACACCACACACAAATAGAATGCATTTTTTCATCACAAACTTAGCTCTAGCAGCAACTTGTTTTCAAAAGCCTAGAGGGAAGTGAATCACACTCATTAGGAAAATCAGCCTCCCCTCAATCAATCCAGTGAGGTAATCTGTTCTGTAGAATTATTGCACTGGTCACAGTGGCATGGATTAAATGAACTATGCATTTGTACATCAAGCAAAAGTTATATCTCCAACACAAGGCAGCTACCTCCAGGACGGCAGCTGTGTAACTGCATGCAATAGCACTTGAACCAACAGAATACATATATCCACAAGGTTTGGGTGGGAAAGGGGGTGCTAAGATGTTGAATATTACAAAAAGGTCTTCTTCATGGTTCAGATCACTTTGACATTGGCATAGCTAATACCTGCCGATCAGCATGACCTGATAGCTCTTACTTCTGTCACTTGTCAGAAACAAGATGCAACTATGGCACCTCTGCAAACATTGGCTCTTATTGTGATCATCCACCACAATGTCTCAGACACACCTTTGTACCACCTGCATAATTTGAGTTGAAGAACTAAAACAGCAATTTGTTATGCCAGGCCTTCCTGGTCTATGTTTCCTAATCAGGAAGAGGGTGTCAATGGTGACACTACCAGTGTAAGTAGATTGCTTAGAAGCCAATTACTTCTGTATAACAGCTTATGGGTTTCTTGGACTTGGGTGCTCTGGCAAGCGATGTGCGTGATTAAGGCTCACTGACTTAGATGTAAAATCCCTCTTAATCAGTACCAAGCATGGTTCCTCACAGTATTTTATGATTTCATTGAAAGCCTCCCATCCTGATTATACATAGGCCAGACATAGCTGGTGTGATCAGATAAGGTCTGTGTCAGCACTAAGCTGGAACAGTACCACCTTCAATTCTCCAAGATATTTACAGATGCTGGACACACACCAGAAAATAAGCCCGTTCTCTGACTTCTGGAAGAGGGACTGGCCAAGGTAAGACTGTGACACTACCAGAGCAGAAAGGAGGCTTGAAATATAAAACTGCAAGCCAAGAATAGGATCTTCAACCAGGCTCATCTCCTGTTGCCTAGGACCTGCCAGACATCCTACAGGAAGCAGCTGTACACTTCCAACCTAGGAGATACCCTAGGGTGAGAAGAGCTCTCTGCCATCTCCCCTTTATGAGGCAGAATGCAGTCCTAAGCCCATATGCAGTGATGAGTTGTATTAAAAAAAAAGCAAAAAAAAAGGGTCTGCCGGTGTGATCACATATGGGAAGGAGGCTAAAAAGCAGCTGTTTGGGTACATTCAGAGTCACTGCTTGCATATAGGTATTCCCAGCAAGTTGGTCCCTCACAGCATCCCCTTCTCAGGAAACCTCTGGGAAGAGAGGAAGAGGAATCTGACAGTGGAAACGGGGATCTGGGGATCTGCTCCCAGCTGAATGCTGAAACTCAACAGGCCAACCTGACAAGGAGTTGCACTCAACGACAGGTCCCTATGTGCTGTGGCTAGCTCTTCTCCTGAAGGAGGACATATGGTGAGCAATTCCTGCTTTGATGTATCTGTGTCTGTCACAGACAAGACACTCTAGTTCTTGAATGTCTGCTGGAAACTGTATTTCTTTCCTACTCCTCCTCCTGATTTTTTTGTTTGGGTTGGCAGAATTGTAGGACAATATAAACACTTGCTCCAGAGGGGGGTAAAAGAAGAAAAACTGATGACCAAATAACTCCAGAAGAATGGGAATTGCCTCCAGGGAGCTCCCCTTCACCCTGCTCTCTCATCAGCTGAGAGAGATTCAACATCATCCTGCTCTGCTAGTTGCTGAATATTTTATACCATGGCTACAAATGCTCCATTTGTATTCAGTTTCTCTCTTTCGTCATATCTATTATAAACGAGCAGTGTCTGGGAACTCTCCCAGGGAAGATTTGCCTGGATGGCTGTGGATATTTTATAGTCAAATTGTGAGAGTAAACCAGCTTTCAAGTTCTGTAGAGAGGGGAAAAGGTAATAAAAGGGTTATTAAAAAAATAAATAAATGTCGGGGTTTTATATGGCTTCCTTTCATAGTGACAGAGCTTCTGTTGGCTCCACGATGGAGCTGGAGCTTCTAGGAGAAGCTAAGAGAGATCCTCTTACTGGCACTGCTTGCCAACAGAAGACATCTGATATGCTATGGCTGATTCAGTAGTGCTGGCATCTGGCTTGGTAGGACCAGGCTGACACTAGGTGAGCCAGGGGTAAGAGCTGTGTGCATATGCACATGGACAGGTGGCAATATGGGAAATGACATGGTCACAGCCCAGGCTGGTAAACACTCATCTTTACCTTCATATTGTCACAGATGTGATGCAGGTAGGAGGCCAGGGTCTGTCTCTTCATTCGGCAGGAGGAGTCCTAGCAAGGAAGCCTCTATATGAGGGCCAACTCCCCTCTTGTTCAAGTGGGGACTAAAAAGAAACGTGGCCACAAGCTGAAGAAGCTTGCTTTGCCATCAGGCAGTCTGCCACTTCCACACAAGACTCTCAGGGGCCTTCAGCCAGCATGGACATCAAGACTGCCCCAAAATATCAAAAAGAATCCAAAATAATTACAGAATATCATGACTGGCCCTGAAGGAAACTACAGAGCAGAGAGCAGATATGAGGGACTGAATTTCAAATTGCAGATGGATATACTGTGGGTTTCCTAGACCAATCCACATCTTCAAAGCCCAAGAGAAAAGAACTTCTCATTTCTTTTTCTCTCTTTCTCTGACTCTATCTATTCAGTCTAATTTTTAAATAATTTATTCACTCTCAGCTCAGCCTTAGCCATTCTGGAAAATCATCTAATGGTGTTAAACAGCCTATTTACCGCACAAAAATTTAACAGCCCCTTTATGCAACATGGGGGAAATGGGGACCAGGCAGGAACAATGGCATTGAGTAAAAGGGAACAATCAACTGTTATAAAAGGCACCTGATGCTGATGAATATAAAACGACACTCAGTGGCTTTCCTAGGTCTTCGGCTTAACTGTATCTTTTGCTCAGGGTAATTTGTGGGTGAAGCAAATGAATAAAGAGTTAAAATACTAAAAGCCAAAAATCTGAAATGAATTGATTCCCCAGCACATCCAGTCTACACCACCTCTTGAGAAACCACAGGAATGCTGTCAAACAGCTGTCTTCCAATACAGAGCAAAAGCTAAGGGGCTTTTACTTTCCCAGTGAAATGAACTTGGAAATAGGGCACAGCTGCATTCTTAAAGGAGACAAAGAAAGAGGAGATTGCTTTGTGCTCCTCTCTTCACATCTTCTTTCCCTGGCAGTCTCCCACGTTTCCCTGCTGGTCTGTGCCACCCTTGATTGCAATCACAAAAGATCTAATCCCTTTCAAACCTGGTGTCAACCGGTTCCAACAGTTTTCTGTCACTGCCAGTGTGAAGACATCACGGAGCAGCTCATCTTCAGGAGAGATACAGGTGTATGGAAACACCTCTGACCTAGCTGGACTTAGTGCAGAAAGCAAACCTGAGTCCTCACAGCAAAGACAGAGGAGGAGACCTGCACTGTGAACCACTTCCCAACTACTCCAACCGGCATCCATGGTGTCAGGCTTTCAGCCTAACCCCCACTGAGAAAAGGTCTCAGATTTTGCAGCTTAACCTCTCTGCTGTGCCACATGTGCACAGAGATGTGGTAGCTGGACTCAGGAGCATGTTTCCTTCCAATGACATCAATGGTGCTGAGGCAGAGAGCTGTTAATTAACCTCGTTTATTGAAGGGTGGACACATTCCTGCCTGGGCCCTGCTTTTTCAGTCAGGCTCCAGTCCAGCAGGTGATTAATAACCTAGCGTGCTGTGGAAAGAGTGCATCTATTATTCAAATTAATGAAATTATAATCAAGAGGTGACGAATTAGCAATTGCTCCTTGACTGGATATGGAAACTCATTAGTGCGCTGGGCGCTGCTGTGGCACTTGCTGTACCAGTATGAGTATGGCTGGAGAGGAGGGAGTCAGGCAGAGCTGAGCGCCCCTTGTCACAGCTCTGCTCTGGCACACACAACTGCAGCCAAAGTAGCTGCACCCACCACAGAGTCCCACAAAGTACCTCCATCTCCTCTCTGATGTCACACTACCTAGAGCAAGGTGGCTGTGGTCACAACAAGGAGAAACACGTGAACATAGCTGTGGTGTTTTTTCTTGTGGAGGGTAAGGAGCCATGTTCTAGAGGAAACATGGCAAGAAGTGATGGCTGGCTTCAAGATACCATTCCAAGGACAGCCTCACAACATGCTGGGTGCAGGCAAAGGACAGCTCTGTGAGGACCATCCTGGCGCTTTGAGTACTGAGTGAGTCTCTAAGCCACTCAGATTGCTGGCTGCAGTCACAGCTGGTGGAGCTAATGCTGGAGGTCTTCCCCTACACCCCGCACTAGGCCAGGGGTACCCATCCCCAGACAGTACTCACCGATGTGCTTGCCGTACATGTGGTAGTAGAAGGAGACACAGTAGTACTTGGCCGTGATGTTGTACAGTGGGCTGATCAGCCGGGCTTTGTCTCCTGTCACCCGGGGCCGAGAGGCCTCGATGAACATGTAATAACCTACACAAGGAGAGAAAAAGGTAGGGAAAGCCATTGCATCTTCTGCCCTGCAAGTAATGGGATGCTTGGGGCTGGGAGACTCCTCCTCCTGCATGAGACATGGCCTTGCTCTTCTCATCCCACTGGATCCCATCCAGAAACATGTGCAGAAAGCGGATTGCAGAAAGGATTCAGTGTATCTGGCCTAAGCAATGTTGTTTTGATCTAAAGAGAACAATGCCAAAGTAGTTGCTAACAACCCAAGGAGGAACAGATTAACTATTTGTTGACACTGTTTTTGGTGCTAGGTCTGGCTGGTGTACTCAACAATAATGGGAAAAACCACTCCCTTAGCTGGCCTTCAGGTATTTCCCATTTTCTTTTAAATTTTTTTCTGAGTTCAGAGTTATGCTTGCATATGAATTTATTTTCCTCATTAGAGAAAGGGGAAAGCAATATCCAGCTAAATCTGGTCTGAGTGCCCCACGCGCAGCTAGGAGGAGAAATACACAACAACAGCCTCCTCCAGTCCGGCTTGGGGCTCCCACTGGCACTCCCCCAGCCTCATCCCTCCTGCTGTTGCTTGGTATGGAGGAGAACTGCCCCACGGAGATCTTCTATGAGGAAGCAGCTGTTTAAACTCAGCAGGGACATTTCCAGGTGTTGGAGGCATTCTCTTACTTGTTTATCCTTTTTTTGACTTCAAAACAAGCATCAAATGGGACAAGGACATTAGGCAGCAGGCAATTAGCTGGTAACAAGAACTAATGCTCACACTATTCCCTTAAACAAAGTCGTGGGTGTTTTAATTGTGTGTTTAATGCCAATCAGTAACATGCAAATTAACTGCCTGCTCCCTGCACCCTGTGCGGAGGAGAAGTGTGTGTGCGGAAAGCAGATCAGCGCTCCACCATCTCCCACAGCCGCAGAACCCTGATGCCTTGTGGCTTGCATCTCCCCTCCAGAACTGAGCCAGAAGAAACCCAGAAGTGTGCCTACCCTCTGGCGTACCGCTGATGTCCGTGGGTGGCCCTGTGTTGACAGTACGCTTGGGGTTCTGGGTCAGGGCGTTCTGCCGTGTCCAGTCAAAGTTGTCCATCTTGTCTTGCACGAAGCCGCAGATCTTCTCATCCTCAAAGCGACAGGTGTTATCTGCAGGGAAGGACAGGGAGTGCCGCTTTTCAGACCTCCTCTTGGGGCTGCCTTGCTGCTTGAGGAGGGTATTCAGCACAGGTGAGCAGCCCCCAGCCTCAGGAGGAGGCTGAAAAGGTATATTTTCATGATGGCAACAATTAAAGAAGGGTTAATCCAGGCTGATGGATGCAATTATCTGACAAAATAAAATACAGCTAACAGGACTTAAAAGAGATTCTGCTGGGAGAACTAAGGGAGCTGATATAGAGGATGATAAAAAGAGTAACAGGGTGATGAAGGCAAGCTTTTAAACCAGACTAGCCTGATGGTAGAATAATCTTCCCAGGAAAGAGGAGAAAGTGCCAGCAGGTAAACCCCACTCTGGTCTACATATTAAATTAAACTATGGCACACATGAAAAAATCAGCTGTGAGTAGAGGTCAGCTCAGTGCTATAAATGTGTCATTTAGCTAGAGCATATTCAATTTATACCAGCTCAGAGGTATATCTGCTATTGCAGCTTATGCGGGTTCTCTTTACAAAATACATTTCACTGGCAAAGGATTTTCCTGTAGCATCAACTACATGTGCAAAAGAGTTTGCTTATGCTACTACCACAAGACAATCACAGTCTACAGCAATATGAGATGGGTGAAAAATCTTGCATATAGACACAACCCAATATGGACCTGCATAGAATGGAGCAAATCAAACTTAACCAGAATTAAGATGGTCTTTTGTCGAACCTTTGTGGTGAAAGCTAGTTTCTGAGCCTCAAAACCAAAGCCTTTCACTGCTGATATAGTTGGAAAAGAAGAGAAAGAATGGACAGAAAAGAAAGAAAATACAAGTCCAAGATTGGCTATAAAATTACTTTGTTTTTTCAAAAGATCCCAGGGATGAAAGCAGAGCTGGAGAATGAGATGAGAGCGGGATCTCAGAGCTCTCAACTGGTGCAGACACAGCAAGCAGATCTCTTTACCTTCTGTCTTTACATTAGAGCCAGGGGGGTACGCTATGAAACTGAACAATAAAGTAATTAAATTCATGGAAGAATACACAGAAAAGAAAAACATATTCTTGCTCAGGTTTTAGAATGTGTTAGAAACTCATCCATGGCATGCCAAACTCAGTTATTTGTGGTTTACCCCCCACCACAATTCCTGCTATCACGGACAGATGAGGAACAGCCTGAACGCCTACCTCGGCTTCTGCATTGTGCCATGGGAGGTTCAAGTTGGATATTAGGAAAAATTTCTTATTCAAAAGAGTAGTGAGGTAGTGGCACAGGCTGCCCAAGGAGGTGGTGCAGTCACCACCCCTGGAGGTGTTCAAAAACCCTGTGTGTGTGGCACTGAGGGACACTTAGTGGGCATGGTGGAGGTGGGTCTTCTCTAACCTTAATGATTCTATGATAAACGAGCAGCATTTTGTCTCTGAGATGCTGCACCTATCTTCCAGCTATAGCCTGCATCACCTCCTCCCATTTGGGAAAGGAAACTGCTGTCTGCCACACAGTCAGACACAACAGCCTGCAGCCCCATGCAGCAGGGACACGGGCGTTCTGTGCTGTTATTCTCCCTTCTTATGTGGTTCTTACACCAAAGCATTCAGGAAAAAGAATGTAGCCTCCTCCACAGCCCACAGAATGGCTGGACACTACGCTGCAAGCCAAGGGTTTGGTTTGTGGAGAAGGGCAGCTGGCTTTTCTTTTAGCTCAGCAGGAAACACTGCTTCTGTGAGCTGAGCACAGCCATAGGGAGCTCGACTGGGCTGGCCACTTAACTGCTGATTAACCCTGGCTAAGTGCTTTCCGTTCAATCCGCTCATTTCTAATTAGCATCCTAATCCAAATTAGCCACTGCTACACAGTGCAGTGCTGAGCACAGGGAGCTGGAGGAGGTGGCAGGAGCAGATAGGGCAGACACCTGTAGGGTCTGAGGCTGGGCATCGGCTAGGGGGTCTGCCAGCTCAGCACAAGATCCTTTTGCAATCATAAGGAACAATCAGGACAGGAAGGATTTGCATCTCTGGCCCTATTGTGCTTGTGGACCTTTGGAGGAGAAAGCTCGCATTTTTCCTCAGCACAAAATTCCCTTAACTAGGAATATCAGACAAAAACAGCTGAAAACTGTAGCACAGAGGCCTGCTAGGCAACTGACTGAAAGCGAGCAAATCCCTGGAGAAAATGGCACAGAAACCAAAGAATAAGGAGGCTGAGGAGAAAGCCCAAGCTCGGGTGGAGACCAGAGAGAAGGTCAGTGCAGGGATAGAGGAAAACAGGGAGCTATGCAAGACAAGAGGACAGTATTCCTGGCTTACAGCTGAGGCCCAGCCCTGGTGGCTGACAACTGCTGCATGAGAAGTCCCTCACACCCTTGGGAACAGGACCTGAGAGCTTTAAGGTGGTAGGAAGGGGCTGCTCTTACAGCTAGAGCACAAGGCATGAGGTGCTGCAGACTCCCAGCTCTTTGCATGCCAGAAAAGGGCCATGCCTCTGTCTTCACCTCTCACTCAGATGCAGCCAATTCCAGAAGACAGAGCTCCTAGCAGAGAGCAAAAAATGGAGGAGGTTCCTGGGCACAGCACAACAGGACCAGGCTTACACGTAACACCACTCGCCATGCGAGAGCAATCTACAGCATGCTGCTTCTGCCTAGCTTGGGATCTCAAGGCACTTTGTGACAACTAATGAACAAGGCTTTATAATATCTCCATGAAGCATCAGCACTTTGTACATCTTCTGCATTACTCACGGTGAAACAGATGCACTAAAATACAGTCAGACACATCTAAGGTCACAGCAGGCAGTGTCAAAGATGGAAGTAGAACCCTGGTGTTCTGACTGCTGGTAGCTTGGTTTAAAGCAAACCACAGGAAGGCAGAAGCTCTGCTGCTCCTCTGAGCTGGAAGTGGAGGTGCCCACGATAACTCAGATATATTCAGAGCGTTGGGAAACAGCCAGCATGTCACCTCTGCGTGATTATCATCAGGCTGACTGAGAGAAACCTATCTGATCCAGCTGCAAAGCAAACCTTTAAGTGACCCACTAAGTCTCACAGGCCACAGCAGCGATCTGACTGCTGACCTCGGCTGTGTGAAGCAAACCTTCTTTCAGACTCGCACCATCTGCCAGGGATCCTGGCTCAGCACTGTGGAGCAAAGGAACCTTCCTGATTAAAAATTAAACAGCGGCTTTAAATATTGAACACAGAAGTTGTTCTCTAGATTGTTAGAGGCGAGGTGGAAGTAGCAGGGGAGCTGGTTCCTCAAAGGCTGGAGTTAGTGCTGTCTTCACCAAACAGATTTCCTTGGCAGGCTTTGCAGTGGCAGCAGCTCAAAGTGCAGAGATGTTTGCTCCTGGTTATAGACACCTCCCTGCATTCCCAGGGGTGAGACCCTCAGCCATGCCTATTAGCATTTCTTGTTGCTTCACCTCTTTGAGAAACATAATGGAGGTTTTCATCTCAAGTCCTTAGGGGTAAGCAATCCCTGGCCTTGAAATTCTAGCTGCCAAATGAATGCATACAAAAAATAATAAGATGATCCTAGCTGCAGACTACGGGTGAATAGCAGATGGAAGCACATTCAAATAAAATTGCCTTCGTCATTTAGCTGTGCTGTGGAAGCTGAAACTGGTTTGGAGCACAAAGGACCCTGATCCGACCCGCAGCGTGACCCACAGCCCATCACTAGAGATCACTTTCCCCACCTAGAAGATGAAGAAAATGCAAACTGGATTGTGACCTCAGAATACTCTGGGATTTAAGAAACACGTAACAAATTTTTCCACACGTTTCTAAAGCGTTTCTACATTTCTAACCAATAATGGAAGAAAGCTTTACAATACACTAACTGGTTGGGTCATACTGGAGCACCATCTGCTTTAATATCCCCATCTATCATACTGGGATAATATGGCCCAATCATATTTTCCATCCTGTCATGAGGAATTAGTGGCAGTCACCTGCTTTAAGATCTGCATTACACACATGCCTGAGGGATGGGCACAGATTCTAGGAATCCAATTCTAAACACTGGGATCACATCCCGTTCCCATATGTTCATGCTGAGTCAGCAAGTTCAGATCCCTCTGTACTATGAGACATTGAGAGAGACGGGACACACAAGCACTGGATGATGAGCAATAAGCCAGGTTAACCTACAACAACCTGCACCTGATCACCACCCACTGCACATGTCCACCATCAAAAAACATTTTAGCTCCATCACAGCCAGATTGTGGATACATAAGGGATAATGTTCCTGCTCTGGACAGGCAAGACACATTGCACAAGCGAGGAAAAAAATAGCAATCTCATATGTTTTTTAATTCTCTTATCACTGAGGTTGCAAGGCTACATCTGCTAGAACCAGGGAAACCAAACCACACACTGCGAATAAGATGGAAAAGTTTTGGGAGCAACACTCAGGGTTTGGGTTGGAAAGTGAATGTCATATCCAAATGAAATCACAGAGTAAAAGTAAGAAGGACAGAACAGATTCCCCTGGAGTTCAATCATAACATTAAGATGATCAGTTGTCCTAGGAGATATTTAAAATGTTACCTTAGAATCAATACTACTCAAAGAGAGCCTTTCAAGATAAATTCTGGTTTCCAGGATAAGATTAACTGATTTTTAAGAGTCAGCCTTACTGCTAATTTCTAAATAAGTGAAATATTCAATATCTTTTGTTCACTCCCTCCCTGTGCTTTCAGTTTCCTTTCACCTTATAATCTCAGCACCTGGCTCAGTAACCATAGCACATGCATGCCTGCCCCAATGTCATTAACATCTTATTAGGCTGGGAGAGAAAATGCATGAAGCAATAATTGTATTAAGTGACTCTCAGAGTTTGTAAATTAATCACCATTGTGAATGCCCTTGGATCAGGCTGCCAGAGGCATTAATCATCCAATCTTTGCCTTTCACTTGAGAGCTCTCAATGTTTGCTCCCAGAATTTGGCTGGGCAGCCTAGCGTGAGGATACCTTTGCAATCACAACACTTATTTTCTGGAGGTGGTGATAGCAAGAGAAGTGGGGGTAAAAAGAGGTAGGAATAGGGATTTCCATGCTGCTGAACTGAGAGGCTCGGAAGCAAGTTGTGGCCCAGAGACAGAGCTATGAGGCTTTGGGCTCATGTTTGCAAAGGGCTTGTATTTGCAATGGCAGCAAGCCTGAAAGGAAGGGAGATCTCTGAAAGCAAGAGAGATGGCTGAAGTTACATGGTAGTCAATCTCAAGGCGTGAACTCAGAGGCAGGACCCTGATGGCTGGCTCAGCGGTTCCAATTTTCAGCACAGTCTGGATGAATCATAACAAGGAGAACTCAAGTGGTGGGTTTACTGCATGAAAATACAGGCGTGGCTGAGTTCTCTGATGTAGGCAAATTTCATTCTGGTCTCAGTCAAGCTGCCAAAGCAATCCCAGGTGAGCACTCTGAAGGCTCAGCTTATAAAGACTCCAAGGAGACTGACACAATTAAGACTGAAGTTGCCTTGTCATTACCAGAGATACATGTGGTGTAAAAGCAAGTGGCAAAAGGCCAGATTTTATCACTTTCCCCTGTGAGCCAGAATGCTCACCTCCTCCAGCAAGGGAGGGGATGCATCCTGGAGTGGGTTCCTGGCAATATGTTCATTGTTTCCTGGTGGAAATCAGCCCAATGTACCAGTGAGTTCTCTTTGGAGAATGTTTAAAAAGGATCAAAAAGTGGGGAAGATGAAAGAACAAGGAATCAGGAGTCATAGATACAAAATCCCGCTGCCTCTCTGAGAAACTCCTGTTACCAGATAAAACACGATAAACCTAATCATCCTCAAGTGTGAATTTGCACAAATGAATGCTTGATGGCTGCCTTACCAAGATAACCCTGTGCTCCAGTTCCTGCTTGTTGCCCAGTCCTGGCTTCTCCTTCCCACTGGTATCCTGCAGTGCAGCAGGAACACTTGCCTGCCCACATGCAGAGTGCTACCTAAGAAGACTGAATGGTGTTTCAGCTTTTTTGATTTTTACTTAGCAGTTGAAAACAGGAAAAAAGAAACATCTACATGGAAGCAGCCTGCTCTTTGTGGATCACCAGCAAGCAGTTTGCTGATCTCTGCCCAAGAGCTTTGCCTGGGCTCCTATCCAGCAACTGAAGCAAAGGGACTTTGTTTCATAGCTTGGAGATTAGCATGCTAGAAATCCTCTTTTATGGACATGATCATGTTCTTGACTAAGAACATCATTGTGGGACGCTGTGTATTGTGATCTCAAAATCAAGAGGAACTCTGGGTGCTCAGAAAAGATGGGTCTACATCTAGATGTTAGGATGCATTAGCAGGAATGACTGGAAGATAAATGAGAAAGCAAATAGTGATGACACCAGAGGGGAAGAAGAAAGGAACTGTGCTTATGGAATTTGCAAGTGGAACCAGATCTGAGCTAGAGATTGTTCCACACCACATGTAGAGGTGTCAAGAAGAATACAGGGGTTATACATTCCTTAAATAGAGATATTTTGGAGAACTTTTAATAATCTGCTTAGTAGATGCAAATTGCTAATAGTAGAAGGAAGGTGGGCTCAATAGTCATAACCTACTCAGTCACAGAGATATCAGGTGTAAGTGGGAGGCACATCTCTGGCATATACCTCCTGGTGATAACTCAAGGTACAAAAAATGGCATTACTTAATGAAATTATTATGAGTCTATGCAATCTCAAGCTCTTTGGGGGAAAATATTTTGTTAAGTTAGTGCTGTTTTCCAGTTTGCCTGATCTCCTGGAGCACTTGACTAACAAGCATTACAATCAAAACATAAATACAAAGGTCTTGTTGCTTACCTGTTGGGCTGGGATAGTTGATTGCTGGAAAAGGAAATAGAAAAACAACACATCAGAACAGCTAGTGCTCCGCCAAATCACAAATCATAATCAAAGTCTGAAAATAAAACAAGCACATCAAGAAAGGTCAGAGTTGTACGAATCTCCTAGCAGCATCCCTGCAAAACAGCACTGCTCAGTGTTTGCCTTGGTGATAGAACAAGCTGCTGACTCACTGATCCAAACAGCAATAGATCTTAATAATGGGTGATCCTGGAACTGCACAGGGAATCCCTTTGGGCTTTCTGAGCAGTTTCTTTCTGAAAGCAGTCACTGGGAGATACAGCTTGGTATCTAAGAGGGGCATCAGTGTCACTTTTCAGGTCAAGAAAGTTGTGTGAGATCATGCAAACACAGGTGGAAGAAGCTCTGTACTTTATGCTAAAATGCAGGGTCCAGACTCCTGATGGGAGTGAAAGAATCACAAGATTGGAATGCTGGATGCTGGAACAAGAAGCATAGTCAACGTCTGTCAATAGGATGATCTGGGATTCAGGGTGTTGGGTAGAGCTACAGGTTTATTGTGGCTAGTTGGGAAAGGAACTGTGCATTCAGCTCTGGAAACAATGAAGTCCCTTGAAATCCTCTTGCTTTTATGGGCATGTGGCTAATATGCAGAATTCACTGGCTGTTCTCTGAAATATGTCACTGAGCCACAGGTAGCATTGGGGTTTGGGTCTCCCACAGAGAGGAGAGTGTGTTGGAGCTGCTGAGTAAAGAATGAGTTGAGACTGACCCTGGTAGGTCTCTGTGTAATGTTTTGTATTGATGGTAGCAGCCAAAAAATGGCCAAATGTGACAGTACAATGCCATCAAAACTCTACGCAGCTGAGAGATACACCCAATGTTTGCAGGAGACAATGTCTACACATGCCCATGACCATTGGCCTGACCCATAGCTGGCAGCTCGGACCTGCTCTCATAGCCAGGACAGAGGTGGAGACACCTACGTTCCATGTACCGGATGATGCGGGCAGCCATATCGCCAGCCCCAAAGCTGGTGATAGGTGTCAAGCGAACTTCGTAGCTCTGAGGCACCTTCAGGTTGGGCAGGATGTGCTCCAGCAACAGGCCTTTCTCCATTTTCTGTACAGGAATGAAGGTTTGGATGATGTTTCGCTGAGCCAGCTGCATGAAAAGAGAATCCACAGTGTCATGAAAATCCTGGAATTAGAAACCAGAGAGATCCTATTCACTGTCTAACACCTTGCTTTTTCCCTTCCTACATAGGCAAGTATGCCTGCTTTGTCAGTGACATTGTCATGTAGAACTGGCTAAAAATTCCCTTCTCTGGCACAGAACAGTGATTAGGAGCCTGAGCTTTCACTGAAAAAAAGCTTTCAGGTCCTCCTGGTTAGGGGGGACGACTTGAAATATGGACCTGGAGCAATTCCATGTTGAGACCAGTGGCTCCAAGATGGGAGAAATAAATCTGATTGACCTGCATCAGTGCACCAAGGTCCTGTGCTCATTGGAGCATGGCATTTTGCCAAGATCCCCTTGAGTTCACAATCACTGCTGCAAAATTAATTCATCTGCTGTCTATATCCTGTGGCATTTCATTTGGTGCCTTGCTGGAACTTACCTACCTGCCATGCTTTCTCAGCACCCTTCCATGGGATCTGCCCTTCAAGCCTAGCCATTACTACCGCTTCAGTCCGGGGTAAGGTGTCTTGCTTAAGTCAGTGATCCTCTACAGTCACCCATAGGCTCCCTCTTTCTCTAAATCCCACTGAAGATGCGAACCATACTACCTGAACCATACCAGCTGAACAGAGTTTCATATACTAAGGCAGCAGGGAAGCTTCAAGAAAACAATTGGAAAAATATCGTTGTCAAAATCACCACCACTAAAAATGATGAATTATGTGTCAGTGAAACTTCCCTGCCACAGTCATGCTTTCTTGGCAGGGGAAGGACAAGAACAAGGATTATACAGTAAAGACACAATCTCTATTGCTGTGCAGTGCCTGGATCCCCGCGGCAAGGTTTGGTCCTGATATGTTATTGGGGATGCTGGTCCTGGTAATAAAGCCTTCGGCAGAGCTTTCTATGGCCTCTCATTCACTGTCCCAGACACTAGCCTCCCCTTGATAAGATTCTCTAGGTTGACAAGTTTCATTGCAAAGAAATTCTCCTGATTGCTGGGCTCAGTGATCATCATGAATTCTGCAGTAACAGGACTGAAAGAGAGATGCAGGGAGGAAAGTTTTCAGCAAATCCATCAGTGTGGAGACTGTGGGGCAAGAGCGCAGAGTGAGGGTATGGCAGAAGCAGAGGCAGGGCAAGGGAGGGATGCATCAGAGCACCTGAGCAATGCAAGCACATGCAATTCTTCTGATCCCCACCTACCCTAACATACACGATTCTAAGCTTCAGCTGAGAAGTAATGGCTGCCACAGGAGAGTTCCCAATGCCAGAGCCCCATTCTTTTTCAGCATGGCCAGGACCCATCTCCTCAACTGAGCCAACCTACCCACAGGTTGTATGGAGCTCCCACACAAAGGGCAGGACTGGACCAGACCCTGCCATGGTACTGTGCTGAGTCCCCCACAGAGCTGTTGTTTTCACAGCCAACAACAAGCTCTGTAGCTGCCTTAAACAGATCAGGCCGCAACTTGCTTGAGGAACTGGCACCCTCCTTGTCCCCAGGTAAGAGGGGTCAGAGGACTGGGAAGGCTCCAGTGCCTTCCCCTATCCCTGTACCTCCCAGGGAATAGCCTCAGTGGGTAGAAACAGGGCAGTACCTCTGGGAATCAAGCATGAAGTCGGCTCTGGGCTGCTGTCAGGTTCCGTACACACACTCTGTCTGCATGCATGCATGCAAGCTGGGTGCAGGTCCAATTGGCATGCCTGCTGCTCAGCCCTTCCATCTGCCAGCCTGCAGCACGACTGTTATGCCAAGAGTGGAACCAGATCCTGGTGGCAGTGATCTCACCTGGGATCATTAGCACCAGACCATCATTTACTGGGAAGGAGAGGAGGAGGCACAAGCCATAGGCAGGGGACTGGGGGTGGCACTGCCTCTGGCATGGGGCTTTTTGGGAAGTAGAGCTTGGCCAGGGGGCTGGTGGCAGCTCCTCCTTACAGGCTGCCTCAGAGCCTGGGCAATGGGAAGGTAGCCAGCAAACAGAAGGGGGTCAGGAGCCATTTCCCTTGTCTAGACATAACCTTTAGAAGAGAAACAAAATGGAGAATCGAAGAGAAGCCTGAAGGTGAGGTTCAGACAGTGCAAATTCCACCTCATCTGAGAGCTGTGTGGAATTTGGGTATCTAAAGCCTCTGGGAATAACGTGAAATTACGTATTCTTCCACATCATCTAAGTCAGGACAAGAAATCAGCCTCCAGTCCAGACTGCAAAACTCCTGATGTGCCAGTCAAGTCTATCCACAGGGGCATGTCAGCTTAACCAAATAAATACTTGGATGCTATCTCAGTTTGTCTATAAATAAGAAAAGAATAACAGCTGTCCCTATGGACCACAGTTGTCCCTATGGACCACAACTGTCCTGCTTCTAGGTGGAACTTATATCACTAGGCAATGGGCAAGGCACAGTGAGTACCCTGGACATACTTCCTCGTGCAGCATAGGTAGAAAGTTTTGTGAAGGCTGAGGAAGAGAGAGAACAGACTGGAGTTCAGCACAGTTTAGAAGGTGTGACATGAGTGCAAGGGAGAACAAGGCCTGGCTCCAGCCAGCTGCTCACCCTGTGAGTGCACAGCTGCTGTGGGCTTGCAGTGATGAGTACAAGTCCAGCAGACAGCAAAATTAGAGCCAACGTCTGGCTCCGCCTTGCTCTCTCCAAGCATCCTTTGCCTTCCCGGCTGCCAGTAGCAGCTTTGTGCAGAGCTGCACGCATCAGTACAGCAGGAACTCGTTTTTAATCCTTTGCTCCTGTCTCCTGCTGCTGCCTTTATGCTCTTCTCCCATGCTACCCCAGTACCTTCTCCCCTCTACCTCCTCTTCAGCCTTCTCCTTCCTTCTGATCATGCTAGCATGGTCCTCCAGCGTAATACTGCTGCGGTGCAGTTCCTAAAGCAGAGGCAGGCACAGAGGACAGTGAAACACTGGCCACCTTATTCAAGATGCTGAAGCCTCCATGGAGAATCTCAGGCACTAAGCTCATTTATCACCAGGCTCAGGATGCTGCCAGTGGTCCCAGAACAAGAGCACAGAGCAATGCGCAGTCTCATTCTGCTTTCACCTCCTTCCATTTCAAATAATGAGAGGCAGGGAATGGGAATAGAAACAAACAAACAAACTCACACTATTGCTACCAGATGGCTTTGGATATCACACAGGATGCAGAGGTGGGAATGCTCTTGCAGAATGGTTTTTCTAGAAAGACTTTACAAAGGACAAAAACACCCCAGGTGGGATGTATATATCCACATGCACAGTAGGCAAGCTGTCCCTTTTCTCTGTCACTTGTAAGCAATATTAGTGACCAAGAGAGAGAACCATAAAGTCTCCCAGCACTACAAACTAGGTCTGCCCTTTCTCATTCCTCACCATCACACCCTGTTGGCAGGTCTTGTCCACCCAGTCCCACACCTTATTGCGTAAAATGGTTTGTGGTCCGCGCAGAGTGCTTGTGCCAGTGTGACCAGCCTCAGCTGGCTTGTGGCCCAGGAAGACACAGCCTCAGATAGAAGAGCCACACTACCTCTCACCACGTTTCATTCCCAGCTGGGATGCTGTCTCCACAAAAGGGACCAATGTATGACACCAACACGTCCAAGCTTTTTGTGTGTTAGATGTGAAAAGGATGCTGTTTGCAGGCTGAATTATGTTGAAAGCAGGCATATATCAGCTATCAGATATAATAAAGCCAAAGCCTATTAACAAACACATCTGTCAATATTTACTGTTGCAGTGCTGCATAGCAACCTGCACCAGGGATTCAAAAGACCACAATAACCTGTGTGTGCTGGGACTCAGCGTGACCTGAGCAACCATGCACAGGCTCTCACAACCAGCTGCACACTGCACAGCTACATGCTTAAGGGAAAAAGTGAAATCAGAATGAAAACCTGTTTCAGTACTGAGCCTCAGGAATCAGTGCAAACACCAGCTAGAAAATATTATATTAAAGCCCCACAGATTCTCCAGCAAGCTGATCAGAGCAAAGGAACCACTTGGTGGGCATCCTGCTTCCCAGCATTGCTATTCACTCCTGCTGCTGTCTCCCCTTATTTGTCCCATTTCAACAACAACTCTGCTCGGCACCAAGCATTAGCTCTGCTCTCCAGCATCTTCTCTAAAAATTCCTTCTACATGTATTTACTCTCTCTCTCCCTTTTTCACTCTGCCTCACTCCAATTGCAGCCAAGCCACCCAGTTTATCTTCTGGCATAGACACATCCCAGTTTAGCATGGTCCAGTGGTCAGGTGAAGGTGACAGCAGCAGAAGGGCACTTTTCCTCTGACAGGTAATACTACTCAGAAGTGAAACAACTTTCCATTTTTATCAATTCAGACTGTTTGCCAGGAGTTTTGAGCACAATATATAGCACTGTCCTAGGGGGCTGCAGGCATCATCTCATGCTGAATTTCCCCTGTGGCTTAGACTGCCATGAATGAAACCAATCTAAATGCAGCTAAGATAGAGCTACCCCATTCCAAAGGGGCTGTTGCTTGAAGGAACCAGGACCTCAACAATCACACCACTGCCCTCAACATGAAGAAACTGGCAGCATCTGTAGCCTTAAACTGGTGACATCCAGGAAAGATGTACCCAAACACCCAATCCTTGGGACTGGAAGGTGCTGAGCTTTGTTATGGCACCAGTGGCAAATTCTTGAATGAATGTGAGGCTCTGCAATGCAAATCACCTTGCCATCACAGTAGGCACCAAGCACAGCTGACCCCTGCCACAGGGCTTCCACTGATTTCTGCTGGTGCCAGGATTGAGCTGTTCACACTACTTGTAGTTTTGCTGAGGTTTCTTAGGCATTTAATCCTCCACTGGCTGCTACTGGAGAATGAGTCCAGAAGATGACTGAAAATAAGATGATAGCAACTTCTTTGGGGGAAAATTAAAAAATGCTCAGAAAGAGAGGCAAGAGGAAGGTGGGGATACGGAATTTTAAGAACATCTCCTAAACATATGAAGCTGCAGTATTT